CGCCCAATGTATTTTCTAGTCTTTCATGACTATAATGATGTTTCCATTGAAATGCTCAGTCTTAACTATGTATTAATCATACAACAATACTAATCATTGGAAGGATTAGCAAGTTTTAAATAGTGATGATGATTCTACAAATGGGAAATAGTACCAAAACATCCCATTTTGCCCAACATCACATTCCTCTTAGTGTTTATTTTTAGCTCCTTTGAAATAATGCTTTTGTGCTCTAGAGCAACACTACTGGTCACCTATCTAATATCCATTCTTCCTTAATTTTTCTTTGTTAATCTAACCACAGATTTACCTATGACACCAGGTGGCTACCAGCTTTAGAAAAAGGGGCTCCTCCTTAAGACCTACCTAGAGGGTGAATCTTTACTGAATATCAGGCAGTTCACTCCTTTCAAGCCTGATTTAGGAAGAATTTAAGAAGGATTTTGTTATATAATTTCAGACAAGGACTCCGTTGAGGAAATCTAGGAGCCTCTGAAAAAGATTTCATCCCTCTTGGAGAGGTTCACATCCTCTTTCTTCTTGACATTTAGATGGTTATGTGAGGGTGGGATGCTAAAAGCTCATCAGTAACACCAAAAGGGGTCAAATCTAAGGACATTAGCTGACAGGAAGAGGATGCTTGTGCAGAAAGATTAGAAGAATTGGATGTTTGATGATTTCATTTAGCCATCAATTTAATGAATTCTGGAACTTCCTCCCTTGGGATCTTGTTACATGAGGTCATGTGTCCCTGTTGTCTAAGCAGTTTTGAGATGGGAGTAGTACTACTTGCAGCTGAAATAATTCTTGATTCATTTTAGCATTTAGGACCCACATGTATTTATTATCTGCTTTCACTTTCTTCTAGGATCTTGAATTTTTGAAAGGAAATGTTAAATCCCTGCTCTCAGAAAGACCAAACATTTTCCCAGATAACCACTGGTGAGGTGTTACAGGACACATTTGGAAAGAATATGTACTGTTTCTTAGGTTTTAATCTGAAATCAGGAATTCCCATCCAACTTTGGTAACTATATAGTTAAGCAATGTATTTTAAAACATAGAAGAGTGAATAATGTTGAAATAATTACATTTTAAAATTGGATATAATTTTAGAAGAGCTAAAATTATCTTTATATATACATATTATTATACATTCTCTATCTTATAAACACTTCAAACTAATCTATAATCTGTGTCAATATTATGCAAATGCTGAGATTTGTAACCTAGATGTCTCACTAAATTTTCAGAGAACAACTAGGAAACTGCAAAATTTCTTGTTAGAACAGATGGTCTTTTGATTAATGCTCTAGTGCATAATTCTACCTCTGTTGAGTCATTTTAACAAGAAAGTGTTTTAAGTGTTCCGCCAGTTGGCTGGTCAAATTAGCAACAGGCACCAGTAAAGGTGTAAACCAGAAGCATAAATCCACCTAGTGATGCATAAGCAAGTGAAAGTATCTCTGCAAGAGTGTTTCTAATAGAGAAGATAGTGAATTAAGATTTTCAGAAAACAGCATGGAAAAAGCTTCTCATCAGTCTAAATTACTAGCCAATGGCAATTATTATATGATACAGGTCTATGTTAAAACTAGTCATTTAAATATTTCAAATAAATCAGAAATAACCAAAGTAATCAAAGTCCTTTGGATTGTGTCTTTAAAATGTTCTGAGGGAAGAAATGAAATGCATCAATACTGGATTTAAATCAACTCAAATAACTGGAGAAATGGTATTTTCAACTCACATATTGATAGCTCATTAGACTTAAAAATGTGCATTGGCATTATCCACACACAGCCTTCCATTAATAACCAAAAACTTTTGCATTTAAATAATTCTGATAAAAAAACTTCAAATTTGAAATGTAGTTATGAATCTACTTATTTTTTCTTAGAAAATTTAAAAGCTCCAGGAATTTATCACTCAATTCCAATGTAGTTCATTTCAGAGGTCTTTTTGTAAAAATGAAGACTTTTAGATTAAACTTGTTCCAACTGCTGCTTCCAGTTTTAGTATATTACATAATTTTGCTTTAAAAAAAGGTTTTTGAACTTTTAACTTTGTACTATGGGCTAAGTCATAAGTTATTAGTTATTAGTACTCTTTTATATAAACTGGAAAGAAGTAAAGTCAGTGGATAGGTTTAGACTTCCCTGAGCATGTTGCAGGTTCCTCAGTCTGCTGGTGGATCTGCAGGATTCAAAGTAAAAGGGTATGTGCTCTATACCATTTCCCAGCTTTTAGGTTCATCTCCTCATTAGTTTCCTCCAGCATAATTACTTAATGATAAAACAATTAATGAGGATTAGTAATGGTCCTCCATTATTGTGGTCTTCCAGAAGCCCTAGTCCCTTTAAGGAACTTATTCATATACACATATATTTTCCTAACTTTTAACTTATCTTAGCCTCCCAGTTGTACTTTGATATATTTACGAGTTGTTTACATGGGCAAAGTAAGTGTCAAGTGATATAGGATGGAGGCCATATAATGTTTATATCTCACATGAGAATTAGTACAGAGCATGTTATATTGTGGTAACAATCACAAGGGTTCTATGGTTTAACAAAACAAAAGTTTATATCTCTCTTGTATGTAACCTGTTAGGGATTAGGGCAACTGTTTAGGACAAGTAGGGCCCCAGCAACTGAGACTGAACTGATCTATGACTTTATCATATCAGCATGAGTCCTTGTCTGCTGTTGCTTTAGGAGAGGAGAGAGCTTGAGAGTTGTTTGTTGGCTTTTCCAAGCTTTGTCTTGAAGTGGCACACATCCCTGCTGCCCAAAGTCTGCAGGCCAGGATGTGTTAGATGGTCAAGGGGAACAGGGATGTGGTGGTGCATATGTAGTATTTGGCAAGTGCAACTGTTGCTGCCATAGTGGTAATTTGAAAATATTCATCCTTCTTGATAACAACAGCAACAACAATGAAAATTCTGCTGACATTTCAGAAATGGGGGTGAATGAACAACAGTAGATTAAATTCCACACATGAGTGAAATCATATGGTACTTGTCTTTCCCTAATTGACTTATTTCACTTAGCATTATACCTTCTAACTCCATCCATGTTGTTGCAAATGGCAAGATTTCATTCTTTTTTATGGGTGAGGAACATTCCATTCTTTATCTGTTTACCCATTGACGGACACTCAGGCTGCTTCCATTCTTGACAATTGTAAATAATGCTGCAGTAAACATAAGGGTGCATATATCTTTTTGAATTAGTATTTCCATTTTTGGGGGGGAAACATCCATTAATGGAATTGCTGGATCATATGGTAATTCTATTTTTAATTTTTTGAGAACCTCCATACTCTTTTCCAGTGGCTGCACCAGTTTGCATTCCCACCAACAAGTATTCCTTCTTCTCCACACCCTTGCCAACACTTGGTTTCTTGTATTTTTTATTTTAGCCATTCTGAAAGATGTAGGGTGATATCTCATTAGGGTTTTGATTTGTATTTCCCTGATGATTAGTGATGTTGAGCATTTCTTCATGTGTCTTTTGGCCATCTGTATATCTTCTCAGATTCAACAGTTTTTGACAGATATCTGTCATTCATTACTGATGCCACAATTATAAATTCCTAGATATGGTAATTATCCAGGATAAACTACTGATGACAAAAAGAAGAGAAACAGAATGGGAGAGACACTGTTCTAGTTCATATAATCTTACATTATATGATGTAATATTCACAACAACTGTACTGACAAATTAGTTAATGGGCTCAGAGAAGTTCAGTAACTTTCCAAAGTCAATGTTAAAACAGGGATTTGATCTCATGTCTACCTGATTCTAAATGTTGTGTATTATCTCAATCCCATAATGATTTCCCAAAAGAATATTTAGTACTCTAGCAAAGAAAAACATCTTCATGAAAAACTGCATGACCTTCCTTTCCTCTTTCCTTGACATACTATTTACTTTCATATATGACAGGGATTTCATTCACTCTTGCCAGCAAGAAGCCCACCAGTTGACAGGCTTCATTAAATATGGTTTCGATGCATAAGAATTACTGTTTAAATATTTCCCCTAGACTTGGTCTCTGCATTTTTCTTCTTTAAGTTGGAAAAAGTTGGGCAGGCTAGGTAGACATGTTTTGGGGAAATAATAGGGTTTGTGAGAATGGATATCACTTTTATATGTATATCAAAATATTTTAAAACAATGACTGTTCTAGGATTAAAAAGGGAAGGGTCATCCTGCTGAATCTAGTTACATCATAGTCCCCTTTCCATTCCAGAAGACTATCTATGGAAATTTCTTTCTTTGTTTTTAAACTGGAGGTCAAGACATTTTTGACAAAAAAAGAGTTTTCAAATTTTTACTAATTTGTTCAGTAAATATATATTTACTGAATAAATTTTTATTGAATTTTTAAATACTAGGTACCATAGGCATTGTGTACAGTTAAACTGTATTTACTGCTTCCTTTCAATTTTCAGTCACAAAGAGGGGGCAACATGGAAATTGTATGAGGGCAGAGAAAAGAGTAGTCATCCCCTCTACATCACTGCAAACATAACAAGATGAACAGATTCCAATGTTGTAATAGAATTTTCAATTTAAGGACATGGGGACAAAAGCACTCTCAAAAATTTTAATGTAACAGAGTCTTGGCTTTCATTCAGCTCCTCAAGTCTTGGATCATCCTCTGGGCCAGAGCAATAAGCCAAGTACTTTTCTATTTATTATCCACATTGTTGGTGACAAGTTTGTATGTCAGTCTTTTACATTTGTTGTTTCATTTAAGTAGCATGTTTTTCCAGCCAATAAATTTTGTTACCGATTTTGGAATTTAGGGGTGAAGCAGAGACGAATTTTTAAGTGGATCTTTGTGCTGAAATGGGAAGTGGCTTTTGGCATGTGCTTGACCTACATTGTAGAGATTACTTAAAATTTGATGCAGGTGATCTGATCAGGAAGTCACAGTCTTAAATGATGCAAAGTTCTAACCAACCACTGGGATGTGTTCACACTTACATGTCCACTGATGTCATCAGGTACAGGTTCAATATTTTGAACCTAGAATAGAGAAGCAGGCAGAAGGTGGTTTAAATTAAGGAAGAAGGTGGGGCGCCTGGGTGGCGCAGTCGGTTAAGCGTCCAACTTCAGCCAGGTCACGATCTCGCGGTCCGTGAGTTCGAGCCCCGCGTCAGGCTCTGGGCTGATGGCTCAGAGCCTGGAGCCTGTTTCCGATTCTGTGTCTCCCTCTCTCTCTGCCCCTCCCCCATTCATGCTCTGTCTCTCTCTGTCCCAAAAATAAATAAATGTTGAAAAAAAAAATAAAATAAATTAAGGAAGAAGGAACGACATCACCAAGATGGTCACATAGGTTGTTTCTGACTTCTATCTCATTCAGAATAAGAATAAGTAACAACTATTCACAAATAAGATACAACTGAGAGATCCTAGAACACAAAAGTGAGGCTGAAGTAACCCTCTCCCCTGCACCAAAAAGGCCACAAAAAAACCCCCACAAAAAAACCCAAAAAACAAAAAACAAACAAACCAAAAAACATTAAAAGGGTAAGAGAAGAGGCTACACATTGACCACATTTTCCCTCCCCCAGGCTAGCATGACATCATGTGGAGAGGTCTCCCCTCTGCCTCCAGTATCCAGTGGGAAAAGAAGACCCAGGGAGTACAACCAGTACCTCAGAATTGGAGTTGCCTGTGGGCACCCCTAACCTGATCTTGCATTATGGAGATTACAGAGGAATCTGGGGCTCAACCACCCAGAGTCTGACTGTAAAAGAGAAGAGGGAAGGAGCTGGCAACAACCAGCACATGGATATTGGCATACTGAGTTCATACCTGCAGTGCCCAAGTAATTACCCAACCAGGAGATTTGTTCATCTACAGAGCTAAGATGGGGCACACTATGACTAGAGAGCTGTCAGAGCATAGATCTGCCTCATTTAGATGATCAAGTGAAGAGTTTTAGTGGCTGTAGAGCCCTGCTTGCCCACCTTCAGCCAAGGAGCTGAATCACAACCCAACCCACTGTTGAAAGCATTTTCTAACCCAACTGATCAGAAGGACTGGTGACAACTCCTGGAAACAGTGCAGCCCAGAAACAATTGAGCTGAGAGGAGGACGGGCAGAATTGATTATCCCCAGAACAAGGCCAATACCAGATATGAAGCATTACCATGCTCTACACAGGCAGGGGACTAATTTATAGCCAAGGCTCAAGGTAGTTCCTGCCCCATCCAATTGGGAAAATTAAGATATTTTATGTGAGGTTCATGGTAACCAAAAGTGAAATTCCTATAGTAATTACACCAAAAAAAAGAAAGAAAAAGAAAAAGAAAAAAGAAAAAAAGACATGATAAATAAGTCAAAGCATATTGATGCTATAATACATCAAAACACACGTAAAAGACAAAAGGATAAGAAACAAGGAAGAATGGATCTACAAAATAACTAGAAAACAACAAAATGACAATAGTAAGTCCTTAACCTATCAATAATTACTTTAAATGTAAATAAATTAAATTCCCCAATTAAAAGACAAAGAACGGCTGAATGGATTAAACACACACACACACACACACACACACACACACACACACACAAGATCCAAAAACATGTTGCCCATAAAAGAATCACTTTAGCCTGAACAACACACAGATTGACAGTGAAGCAATGTAAAAAGACATTTAAAGCAAATTGTGATGAAATAAAAGGGTGTGTGTGTAACTATACTTATATCAAACAAAATAGATTTCAAACTGAAATTGTAAAAAGAGACAAAGAAGGTCATTATGTAACAATAAAAGTGTCAATACATAAAGAAGATATAACAACTGTAAATATTTATGCACCCAATATTGTAGCACCTAAATATATAATGCAAAATATAAAAGAGCTAAAGGGAGAAATAGTATTAATACCATAATAATTGGGGACTTTAATACCTTACTCTCAATAATTAATAGATTATATACAGAGAAAGTTTCAGTGGATTTGAACAACACTATAGACCAGATGGGCTTTACATACATATACAGAACACTGTATTCAACAATAGCAGAATACACATTCCTCTCAAGTACACATGTAACATTTTATAGGATAAACAATATCTTAGACCATAAAATGAGTCTTAGCAAATTGAAATTGAAATCATGCCAAGTAGATTCTCTAGCCACAATGGCATGAAAATGGAAATCAATAATGAGGAAATCTGGAAAATTTTTGAACACATAAAATATTAAACAAGACTCTTCTGAACAACCAATAGATCAAAGAAGAAATTAAAGTGGAAATAAAAGTTCATTGAGACAACAATAATGTACCAGAACTTGTGGGATGCAACAAAAACAGTTCTAAAAGAGAGTTTTATAACAATAAATACCTACAGTAAGAAGCAAGAAAGATCTTAAGTTGGGGCGCCTGGGTGGCGCAGTCGGTTAAGCGTCCGACTTCAGCCAGGTCACGATCTCGCGGTCCGTGAGTTCGAGCCCCGCGTCGGGCTCTGGGCTGATGGCTCAGAGCCTGGAGCACTGTTTCTGATTCTGTGTCTCCCTCTCTCTCTGCCCCTCCCCAATTCATGCTCTGTCTCTCTCTGTCCCAAAAAAAATAAATAAACGTTGAAAAAAAAAAAAAAAAAGAAAGATCTTAAGTTAACAATTCAACACTATACCTTAAAGAAAAAGAAAAAAGGAAATAAAATTTAGCACAGAAAATAAATAATAAAGATTACAGTATAAATAAATAAGAGAGGAGAAAAATAATAGAAAAGGTTAGCCAAACTAAAAGTTGGCTCTTTGAAAAAATTAAAAAAAAAAAACCTGAAAACCCTTAGCTAGACTAACTAAGGAAAAAAAAGAAGGGCCCAAATCAACAAAATTATAAATGAAAAAGACATAACTGATACAACAGAAATTAAAATGGCCATAAGAGGCTACTGTGATCACTATACACCAACAAATTGGACAACCTAGAAGAATGGAAAAACTCTTAAAAACATAAACTTACCAACACTAAATCAGGAAGAAATAGAAAATCTGAATAGACCAACTACTAGTCACGATATTGAATCAGTAATCTAAAATCTCCAACGAAGAGAAGCTCAGGACTTAATGGCTTCACTGGTGAATTTTACCAAACTCTAAAGAATTGACACTGATCCTTCTCAAACTCTTCCAAAAAATCAAAGAGGAGGGAGCACTTCCAGACTCATTGAAAATACTCAATGAAAGATTAAAAGGTTTTCCTTTAAGATCAGGAACAGAACAAGAGTGCCCATTTTTACCACTCTTACTCAACATAGTAGTAGAAGTCCTAGGCAGAGCAATTGAGCAAGAAAACAAAATAAAAGGTATCAAAACTGGAAAGGAAAAAAAATTATGTCTATTTGCAGATGATATGATATTTTTATATATAGAAAATCCTAAAGACTCAAACAAAAACTCTTAGATCTAATTAATGAATTCAGTAAAGTTGAAGGATGCAATAGTAACATACAAAAATCAGTAACGTTTCAATACATTAACAATGAATTCTTTGAAAAGGAAATAAAGAAATCAATCACATTTCCAATAGCACCCAAAACAATAAAATACTTAGGAATAAATTTAACTAAGGAGGTAAAAATCTCTACTCTAAAAACTAAAAGACATTGGTGAATAAAATCAAAGAAGATGCAAATAAATGTAAAGGTATCCAATGTTAATGAATTGGAAGGACTAATTTATTAAAATATCAGTAGTTTAAAAAGATTCCAGCAGTCTCTGTCAAAAGACTCTGATGATTTTTTGTACCAAGTTAAAAGAATAATAATAAAACTCCTAAAATTAATATGGAACCACAAAAGTCCCCAAGTAGTGAAGGAAATCCTGAGAAAAAAGAACAAAGCAGGAAGCAACACCCTTCCTGATTTCAAGGTATACTATAAAGCTATAGTCATCAAAATAGTATGTTACTGGCATAAAAATAGACAAATAGAACAATGGAACAGAATCACAAACCCAGAAATAAATCAATGCATATACAGTTAAGTAATATTGACAAGGGAACCAAAAATAGTCAATAAAGAAAAGATAGTCTTCAATATATGGGGCTGGGACTATTGGATATTCACATGTAAAAGAATGAAACTGGACCTTCTATCTTACACCACTAAAAAAAAATAACTTAAAATAAAGACTTAAATGTAAGATCTGAAACCATGAAACTCCTATAAGTAAACATAGAAATAAAGCTCCTTGACATTGGCATTGGTAATGATTTTTGGATATGACACCTAAAGCACAAGCCACAAAACCAGAAATCAACAAATGGGACCATATCAAACTGAAAAGCTTCTGCACAGCAAAAGAAAGCATCAACAAAGTGAAAAAAATCCCTACAGAACAGGAAAAATATTCATGCCATATATCCAATAGGGGATTAATGTCCAAAAAATATAAAAAACTTATGCTACTCAACAGAAATGAACAACATCCGATACAAAAATGGGCAAAGGACCTGAGACGTTTTTTCAAAGAAAATACATGAAAGGCCAACAGGTAAATCAAAAGAGGCTGAACATTAGTAGTCATTTGGGAAATGCAAATTAAAACCACAGGGAGATAATTACCTCACACTTGTTAGAATGGCCTTCATCATAAAGACAACAGAACAAGTGTTGGCATGAAAATGGAGAAAAAGGAACCCTTGTGCATTGTTGGTGGGACTGTAAATTGATAGAGCCACTATGGAAAACAGTATGGAAGATTCTCATATAATTAAAAACAAAACTACCATGTCATCCAGCAATTCTACTTCTGGAAATATATCCAAAGGAAATGAAAACAGTTGAAAAAATATATTCACTCCCATATTTATAGCAGCATTGTTTAAAATAGTCAAGATAAGGAAACAGCCTAAATGTTTATCAATGGATAAATGGACAAAGATGTTATATGTAATAACTTACTTGTTTATATATATAATTTATAATATAGAAATACAGAAATATAATATATATTGAAATATATATTAGAATATATAGAAATAATATATATAATGGAATATTATTGAGCCATAAAAAAACGAGGAAATTCTACTATTTGCAATAAGATGGATGGACATGAAAGTCGTTATGCTAAGTGAAATAATTCAGAGAAAGACAAACACTACATGATCTCACTTATAAATGAAATCTTTAACTCAGAAAAAGAGATAGACTTGTGGTTATGAGATGGACATTGGTGGGGGAGGGAATTGAAGGTAGATAGTATGAACTTTCAGTTATAAGATAAATAAGTATAATAAAACCTTGGTTTGCAAGCATAATTCATTCCAGAAACATGCTTGTAATCCAAAGCACTCCTATATCAAAGTGAATTTCAATAATCACTGGCTTAGTTGTGATCATGTGACACGTGGCCTCACATACTACTTGTATTGCAAGACATTGCTCGTTTATCAAGTTAAAATTTATTACAAATGTTTTCTTGTCTAGGGGCACTTGGGTGGCTCAGTTAAGCATCTGACTTTGACTCAGGTTATGATCTCACAGTTTGTGAGTTCAAGTTATGCATCATGCTCCGTGCTAACAGCTCAGAGCCTGGAGCCTGCTTTGGATGCTGTCTTCCTCTCTCTCTGTCCTTCCCCTGCTCATGATCTATCTCTGAAAATAATAAATATACATTAAAGAAGAAAAAAAAAGAAAAAAATGTTTGTTAGTCTTGCAGAACACTCACAGAACAAGTTACTTGCAATCCAAGGTTTTACTGTATTGGGGTTATTACATAAGACATGATGAGTAGCTAACTCTGCTATATGATACATAGAAAAGTTAAGAGAGTAAATCATGATTTAACATAATAAGGAGACATTTTGTTTCCTTTTTTCTTTCTTTCTTTTCTTTTTATTGTATCTGTAAGAAAAGGTGAATGTGAGCTGAACTTACTATGGTAATCATTTCTTACTATATGTAAATCTAATCATCATGCTGTACTCATTAAATTTATATAGTGATGTATCTCAATAATTTCTCAGTAAAATCGGAAAAAATTAAGAAATGTTCTATTGTTTCTGGGTAACGTGTGAATGGACTTCCCTGAGTCAGTCAATAATTCCTCTGTGTATTTGGACATTAGCTGATTTTCACCTATCTGGAATGTTGTCAAGGTATTTAGGCTTTATGCAGAGGATTAGACTAGACAACTAAGGAATTCATCCTAATATGTAAAGGAACAGAAAATCAGAGAATCACAGTACATTACAGATTTAGGAAATATTTTCTCATTTGTAGAGAATAAAAAGATTTAATTTTAAATTTGGAAAAAAAAGAAAATCACTATTCATTTGAAGGAAGATATATACTTGTTTGGACTTGGAATCTCAAAGTGTACAAAATGGTAAATTGAATGTATTTATAATTAAAATATTCTGGGTTGATGTTTGTGATTTGGGTAAAGTTGAGGTTTATCTTTGCTTGGAAAATTTGATAAAAGAGCTGTGTTAAAAATGTGATTTTTTTTTCTAACAGTCCCAAATCAGGAGGTAAAATCCATGTCTCCCCTTGAAACTGAATAGACCTTTGTGACAAATAGAACATGATGGAAAGTGATGCTTCATGACTTCCAAGGGTAGTTTAGAAAAGGCCATGCATGTTCTGCTGTCTCTTGGAACACTGGTCTGGAAGCATTAAGCCATCATGTACTAAATTCCAGCTACCCTGAGCTGCCATATGGAGACAGATACCATGTAGTGGGAAAGAGGGAGTTCAATACCAGGTGCTTGAGTAAAACATTCTTCTCTATGCCCTAGCCTGAACCAGTGTCTGCCGCTACCCCATGCGACGAGAAAGAACTGGCCTGAATCCCATTCCCCAAATTTGTAAACAAATAAACGACTGCTATTGACTTAAGCCATTGTGCAGTGGCTCGGTACACAAAAATAAACAACCAGAACACACAGATATCTCACTATTATGTTGTCTTTATATAATGCTTACCCATTGACTTGCAAAGAGGAAAATTCAGTCATCAGTATTTTTGGTTTTCTTAGCTGTAAATATAATTTTCCATTAAGTTCCTAGAGAGAGTATATTTTTGATGTATGAATTTAAATAAATAAGCTTTGCCCTCAATTGTTAGCTTTTAATCAATGATATATTAATATGTATTAATTAATATTAATATGATATATTAATTCCAACCAATAAAACCCCAACTAATAAAAAGAAGATGTAGATAGATGATAGAGATAGAGATATCTGGACAGAGATAAAGATTGGATAGAGATTTTGTCCAAATATTAATCAAATTCCTAGATTAAAGAAATGTTTCATTGTGTAGAACAATAGGGCAAAGCAAGATTTGTAGTGCTGACAAACATAAATGCCTTAGCTGTTAAGACCCTGGAAATGAATAATCATCTTAAGAAGGAATGAATGTCAAAAGAGTGAATAGGGAGCCAGTGCCACAACTGTGGGTGGGGATTTAATCAACAAGTCAGGTTAGCGAACAAACTCCTTCCCACTGAAGTTATCCAAACGACAGATCCTTTTCAATATGTCATTGGACTAACAAGAGTTTAAAGAATTAAATTATTAATATTTTCAAACATAACATATTCACATATACATGAGTTCTATTAGTGTTTACTCATTTCATGCATAGTCAAATATACTATTTTAATCAGTATTATCTATTACCAATTAATTAAAATGTTGATAAAAATAAAAATTTTAATTGTGTAGCTTGAATGTTATAATAACATCGCTTATAATAAAAACATTAAAATATCCTGTGCAAAAGTAACAGTAAAAAATGTTTACTTCTAATGCATTATCTTATATATTCTATCTTCAGATTAAGGTAGAAATGAGGTAAAATTCATATCCTTACTAATGTAACATTCAACATCTTCCAAATATATTTGAAACCAAGAAAAGTATGAAGAATGCATATTCTTCACATGTATAGAAATAATTTTATATAATTTTACAATAAATTAACTTTATAAAAATGAATAAAAGTAAGAAAATCTCAAATAACATGATTTCATTCCTTATGAACTTTACTTTTCCTGTGCAAATCAATTTTAAGGTATATTCCTGTACATGCTTCTCTATTCCATTACATATTTTAGTATATGTAATGGAATTTTAATCCTGTTGTCTATATTTTCCATAATTTTTTTCAAATGATTAAAGAGATTGGTTCTCATCAAGAGTGTCTCTGAATTCTCATTGTTGTTCTACTTTGGATAATAGCAAATTTAAATAAACATTAATTTAAAAAATAGTAAGAATTTCTAATTTGAAAAATAGACATTAATTTGTAAACCAAAATTTATCCTCAAGTAATTCTTTGGTGTTGTCCTAAAATCTTCCATTCCTTACAGGAATGAATGAAATCCATTTTATTAGATAAAGAGGAGATTATTTACAACAGTAAAAATTACAAGGTGATAAATATGAATAATGTGAAAGTTTAAATACCACAACCAGTGTTAATTACCCATCCCCAAGTGATTATTAGAATTAAAAAAGGAAATAAAAACTGAAAGTTTCATTATATGACATCCTGATAGTATAAATTGTACAGTACTACAGTATAAGAGTGCCTCCAAGTGGCATTTGTCAAAACTCCATATAAAAAATTTAAATACAAGAACCAAAAGTTAAGCTTTAATAACAGTAGACCCTAAAGGATCACTTTTATCTTTCTGCTTACTTAGGATCTACTCTTCATATTTACAATTCAGTTTTTAGGAAATTCCTAACTGTCTTTAAATATCCACACTTAAGTCCCATTAATCTTCAGAATTCTAGATTGTTTTCAGTATGTTATTTGTACTGTCTTGATATAGTGTTTAGTTAGCTGATAAGTAATTTCATTTCCATTAAATTTGTACAGTTGAATCTTTTGATTAATACATTGCCCCTATTTTCAGTGTTCCTAAAAATGTTGTCTATATTTCCTATATCTTGGATGATAAGAGGGACAAAGGACTTATTTCCTACCTATAGAATACTAGACATGTTGGATCATCTAATTCTACCTCTACAATTTCACAATTAAATACAAGAGTTTAAGGAATTTATCCAAGATCAATGTGGTTGGTGACTTAACTAATATAATCTGTCTGACCAGACTTGTAATTCAGTACTCTTTCAAATACATTTGCTCTGACACCAAAAATAGAGCTCTTCCACATGCCCTAAACAAATACATGTTTATTTTTCGTATATGGTTTTCTTAAAACTCAACCAAACTCTAGAACACCAAATGTAGAAGTTGCCTAAGGCAAAAAGTGCTCAGGAACTGACAAATAAACCAATAGGTTCTAAATAGGCCTTAAAAAAATTAATGTGTAGTGTTTTGGAATTATTCTAGGTTTATGTCACAAAAATATTTAAATTACCAGAGTAGAAAGGAGTCTGGATAGTAATAAATAGGGCAGTTGAGCTTGTAACATAACTTAGAGACAGATCTGTTTGCTCTAAAAAGATAATCTTTGTAGTGAAAGTTATTTTCAAACTGATTTCATTTGTAAATGCTACTCTTTCCATTATTTTACCACTCTTGTCCTGATATTTCTTTTAAATTTCATGTTTTACTGTTTATTTCCCTTCTTCTGTTTCATATAAATGATTCCAGGAAGGCATTCTTCTCTCTTTTCCCAAAGGTGTCATTCCAATGCTATTCTTTCCTAATTCTTATTCCTTTTTCCCCTCTTAATTGCTTTTTATGGGTCTTTTCTTTCTCTCCTGCCACTTCATCTACAACTTTCTTGGAATGAGTTAGCCAACATCGACAACAAGATTTAAAGTTCAGTCTCTGAGGGGCTATAATGTAGATACATCCAGAGTATTAAGTACAGAAAAATGCCTGTAGGTTTTCAAATAGATATGTGGATATCTGTATGTGTAATATAAACTATTAACTTTTTAAACTTTTGAATGCCATGCTGTATTATCTATGGAACTATTTTGTGGTGAAATTAGAATAAAATGTTCTAATTTAATATTTCCTGTTATTTAATTCCAAAATACCTTTTAAAGATTGAGCTCACATTGTAGTTTCCATTAATTTCCTCAGTTATCCCATTTAAAAAATTAAATGTGTTTTAACTATCATGCCAAATTTCTACTTGTTTAAGGTCGTCTCAAACAATGACCATTTTTTAAGTCATGTTTCACTACCTGCCAATCTGAGCTCATCTCAGAATTTCATTAGTACTCTATTTACTCTGACTCCCACATCATTAATGAGGTTTCAAATAAGACCAGACTGAAATTCATCCCTATGGTACCCGGAAAACATGACATTGTTTACTGTCACTCTGATTCAAGCCCATTGTCCAGATTTTAAACATTACAACAATGCTCAATGCAAAGCCAACTTAAATGAACTCTTCTGAATAAAATTTGTGACTGAAATTTAATGAGACACATCAAAACTTGGCTATAATTAATAGAAACGATCTTGTACATGTCTGTAGTTGTTAATCCTGCTTATTTCTCCCATGATTAACTATTTATTTGTTTACTTTTCCTTTGGTGAGATCTTCAGATATTTTCTTTGATAGTTGCATTCATTTTGTTAGTGATGAAAGATACATGTCAACCTTCATAAATATTTCAATAACTTTTAGTTTGGTAAAGATTACTTAACTTTTCATATAACATGCCAAATAAACCCAGATGGTTATGCATATATCAGAACTAAATACATATAATTACAAAATCCAAGTTAATATTTTACCACATTTTTGATGACTTATTCTCAGAATCAGAACAAGGAATAAACTGAAAATGATAAACCACATATTTTCTGGGCTTTATGCTAATTAGATACAGCAATTTAATTCTTTAGAATTCAAAATTCTGAGGATAGAATCATTTTTAAAAGAGAAAACAATCTATAGATTAAATCAAGTTGTAAGATACTTGATTAAGCCTAATAATAATTTATTTATATTTATGGACTATTCACTTTTCAACCAGCTGTCAATATTTTATGCTATGTGTAGGAAAAGATGAAAAATTACCTTTTTGTATATATCCTAAGTGAAAATGGTCAGGGAAAGTAATGTTGAAATAAGGATAATACTCAGCGATGAAAAAGCATGAAATCCTGCTATTTGCAACAACATGGAGAGAACTGATTATAGGGTATTATGCTAAGTGAAATAAGTCAGTCAGAAAAAGATATATCATATGTTTTTACTCATATGTGGAATTTGAGAAGCTTAACAGAAGACCATTGGGGAAGAGAAGGAAAAATAAGTTACAAACAGAGAGGGAGGCAAACCATAAGAGAAGAGACTCTTAAATACAGAGAACAAACAGAGGGTTGATGGGTGGGTGGGTGGGGGGATGGGAGGGATTGTAAAAATGAGTGATGGGTATTGAGGAGGGCACTTGTTGGGACAAACACTGGGTAGTGTATGTAAGTAATGAATCATGGGAATCTACTCCTAAAGCCAAGACTACACTGTATGTTAGCTAACTTAAAAATAAATTATTTAAAAAAGAAAGGTAATAAAGAGTATGTTTTGAAAAATACAGTTGTTAGAAACTACTGAACAAATGCTATTTGATGATTGTTTCACAGATACCCTAAAATTTATATGTAATTTTATCTCCCTAAATAAATTGAAGAATACTAAAAGGCAGAAATATATGCTGTTGAAACAAATACACTTTTTCACTAAATAAATATTATTTGCTAAGTGACTGATATTAATTAGCTTCATTTCCTATAACAGTATGGTCCTTGTGTTAATCTGCTTCATAATGACTATATTTGTCAATTATTGAATTAGAATCTCTGAGATGGGGCCAGTTATAAACTTCCCCGATGAGTTGTGAGTCAATAATGTTTGAGAATTATTGTCCTACAAGCAACATACATAATGAGTGAATGAATGAGTGAAAAATATTTAGGTGCTGTCTAAAAGCACATAGTGAATAAACAGCAATGGTATTTCTATTGAGCTAAGACAGAATAACCTCATAGAATGTTTTTGAGTTATTATCAGCACTAATAAAATGT